GAGTATATCAAAACTGAGGTGATTCTTTTAACTTCTCTCACCTAAAGGATGTACTTCCTTTTAGATTTAGCTAATTGCTTGAACAGTCTATGTAGCAATCACCATATATAAACCATGAAAGAAAAAATATACAATATTGTAAACAAGGAAAGTGTAGTTTGTAACCATCATCTTTCAAGTACTGAATTGTTATCTGTATCTGTATCTATATCTATGTATGTATGTGTATATATATATATATATATATATATATATGTATTTTGTCCACTTCTATTATTAAGTATAACTCCCTAGATATAGAATTTCCATAGGGAATTTATTCCATTAGCTGATAAATTACACCATCAGGGAGTTTTTTCTTAAATTTTCCTATTCTTAATTTCATCTCATTACTCTCAGTTCTACCCCCTTGCATCAGGCTAAATAATTATTCTCTTTCCATAGAGACTCCTATTATGTACCCCCTCTAGTTGTCACTTAACCAGACTATTCATATTTAGCTCCTTTAATCTGTCCTCATAAATCAGTTCTTCCATTTCCTTAATCATTATTATTGCTCGTCTAAGAACCTCTAATTTTCAAACATATACAGTTATCAGGTGCCCCAGATGAAGTCAGCATTCACACAGTCTTCTACCCCCACAGACTTGGTATCTTCCTTCTTCAGACAACACAATTCTAACAACGTGGCATCATTCTGTGTGATCAAATCAGCACATACTCACTCTTCAAACTCAGAATCATCTAAATAGTGTTTTCCATGTGCCCTAACTTGCATTCAGGTTGATTTCAATTTTTTCAATATCATGCCTTTAGTAAACTGAATTTTGGGTGACTGACCATTTTTATATACTGTGACTTTTTTTTAACATTATCCTTCATTTTGTGTATCTTTTCATCTTGGTTGTAATCGTCATGGGCTTCCCATCACCAATTCACCTGTTTGCCATCACCATAGTCCTGTGCACTCTTCCCACCCACCCTAATTTTGTTCCTATTCCCTTTTCCACCCCCCATAAAATGTCTCTGGTTTATATTTGTGCATTGTTTTTCATTTTTTCTTTACTCCAATACCTTTTTATTTTTTTTCTTGGTCCCTATGCTCCTGCCATTAGTGAAACCATCCAGTATTTTCTTTATCTTTCTTCCTTATATAACTAAGCATGATCCCTTCCAGCTACACCCATGTTGCTGCAAAAGGCATGAGTTTATCTTTTTTGATAGCTGAGTAATATTCCATTGTGTATATGTACCACATCTTTTTAATTCAGTCATCAATTTTTGGGCATTTGGGTTGATTCCGCCTTCCCTATTGTAAATAGAGCAGCAGTAAAAATGGGGTACAGGTGCCCTTTTGAGTCATTGTTTTTGTGTCCTTTGGGTAGATACCTAGGAGTGGGATTGCTGAGTCATAAGGAAGCTCCATTTTAACAGTTTGAGCAACCTCCAAAGAGCTTTCCATAGTGGTTGGACCAGTTTGCATTCTGACCAGCAGTGTAGGAGAGTTCCTTTTTCACCACATCCTCGCTATCATTTGTTGTTGCTAGTTGTTTTAAGAGGTGCCATTCTCACTGGGGTGAGATGGTATCTCACTGTGGTTTAATTTGCAGTTCCCTTATCACAAGTGATGTTGAACATTTTTTCATATGCCTATCGGCCGTTTGCATTTCCTCTTTGGATAAGTGTCTCTTTAGCTCTCCTGCCCATTTTTTGATGGGGTTGTTCATTTTATTTTTGTTGAGTTTAACAGCTCTTTGTATCTTTGTGATCAGTCCTTTGTCATTAGTATTGTATACAAAATTTTCTCCCAATTAGTGGGATATCTTTTTGGTTTTGTAGTGTCTCTTTTGCTGTACAGAAACTCTTTGATTTAATTTGTACCAGCTATTTATCCTTTCCTTCACTATCCTTGCTTTGAGTGTATATCCTGTGACTTTTAATGTTCTTCTCCTCCACCATGAAATCAGGCATCCACAACCTCTCTTAACCTAGGATTCTGTTCTTCCTTGAGCCCACTTAGGAAATATGTTGAATAAATGCATGCCTAGCACCTTGCCCACTGCTAAATTTCTTGTCAGTTACCAATTGCCATTGTTTATGACCACTTAGCCAATCTCCCATCTCTTAGTTTGCAATTTTGCTCACATGCTGGACAATATAAATGGATTTTATGAAAAAGATGGGTCATGGTACTATTTCCTAAAATGAAGATAGGTTGTTTCAGTGCCCATAATTTTTTGTTATTACTATGAATCCTTCATGCACTAAGTTTGTAATTCTGTTAAGATCCTTTTTAAGATCCTGACTTCTTTATTTGACATAAACAAATAGCTCCCTTCGCTGTCTTTATTGTTGTTTCTCTGTATACACAGATGGTCCTTCAGGAGAGGTTGAAGATACTGTCATTGTCATTTTTTTCCCCATCTTTTCTAGTGGTCAATGAAAACTTTATTATTTCCTTAAAACCTATCTCCTCAGCGTTTAAATTTTTTTCAGGGAGAAAGTTGATCAGTTCCCTTAATAAGTTTGGATCTCTCAGCTCGGAAACTACAATCTGTTTATGCCCAAATTCGTTTCATTTTAAATCAAGAATTAATTTATCATTTATACTAGAGTACACCAGGGGATCAGCCCCATCCTTTGTGCTTTATCTGTCCATACACAATTGTATTGCTTGCCAACAGGGTCTTAACCACTTAGGGATTTATCTCAAAGGACTTTATGAAGCAAGCATAGAAGTCCCCCAATAGCCTTTTGATTATTAGGAAACATATACAGCCCCCAATAACCTTTTGATTATATGAGACGTCTATAGCAAGACTTCGTCTCCTACTCTCTGGAAGCTTCTCAGCAACCAAGGGCTTCTCATCAGCTCTTGCCTCAGCCTCAGTGAACAGCCTCTGCCACTCTCCACAGTGACTGTTCTGATCCCTCAGCCCACTTTTTAGACTCAATCCACCTCCCTGACCTAATGCTTTGGTGACTCAACTTAGATTCCACAATTGCCACCTGAAACTGTTGTCTTCCATTTCATTTTCTTTTCTTCTTACCTCAGCTTTGTAATATATCTCATTGTAGTCTTTCGTATAAGGCCCTGCTTTGCTTCCAACCAAGAAGCCTTCCATTATCACTTATTGACACTATTTATTCTGGATCCTGACCCCTTCCCTATCAAGTGTCCCCAAGGCAACACTCAAGTGAATACCCTGTAAACATGTACCCCACGAAAGAAAATTTGATCTTACTGCCTACTCTTCTCCTCTCTACTTTCTGCCTCTGTCTCCATCTCTTTCATGCCTGCATCCTAACCTGATGTCTAGTTTCTGCCGGCACCCCTCTGCAGGAATTAACCCTGGTGGGAACCAGTGATCTATACAACAAGGTCAAACGCTGCTTGTAATTTCTGATGCTTTACCACCTCTGCAGCGTTTGTAGCTCTATTTTACACATTTTTAAAGGCCCTTGCTTCTCTTTCACATGTCCTTTTACATGTTTTAATTCACTTCAGTTGTGTCACTACTCTCTTGGCTTCTCTTTCCATTATTCCATATGTTTCTTATTGCTCCTCTTCTCCCATTGTCCTTCCTCTCTAAGTACCTCTTAAATGCTCATACTTTCCATTTCTCTTTTTTGCTCAAAAAATAATCAGGGACGGAGCTGAATCTCTAAATGGACCTCAGGAACTCAAAGAGAGTGCCAGGTGTCTGTCCATGTCTACCCCTCCAGAGACCTGGTCCAGAACTTGGCCTGGCCTCTTCAGGTTGCACGTTATTCCTGGAAGAGTTTGTACTCTCTCACACCCTTTCCTGTGAGGACACCAGTGCTTTCCTTAGTCCACAAATACCCGCTCTTTGCCTTTTAAAACCCTTCAGCCAAAACCCACTTTAAACCTTTGCTGACCCCCCCCCCCCCAAATCAGAATTCATTGCTACTTCTCAGGTAGAAGAGTTGGAATGACCATGCTTTATATCCTGTGTTCCACCACAGGTGAGCTG